AAACGGGATGTAAGCGATTTCACTGTGCAGGGTGGGGGTCAGGGGGTGGGTGGTGGGTACAGTAGAACGAGTGGCAGAGGTTTTACCGCTCCGGGCGCGGATAAAGGGAGAACAGACTCGGGTCTTCAACAGGAGGGGGAGATTCTAAGAATTTCAGGATGGAAGGGTTGTTAAGGGAGTGGAGGTCATCAATGTATCTGAAAGTGTGTTTGAAGATGGAAGGGTTGTTGAGGGAGTGGAGGTCATCAATGTATCTGAAAGTGTGTTTGAAGAGGGGGAGGAGATGAGCAGCCCTTCGATTGGCCAGGCGCATGATCAAGCCGTACTCGTACTTGAAGAAATAGATTGTGCACCAGATAGGTGAACATGGCGCCCATTGGAATCCCCAAAGTTTGCCTCCACACTCTCCCTCCGAAAGTCGTAAAGCACCTCGCCACCAACCACTTGGTGAGCATAACTACGTCCTCACAGTCAAGCCACAGGACTCTGGGGGAGGGGGGGCGTTTCCTCCCTTCTACAACAGAGCATTTGATGTGTCCATTGCGAGAGAACTTACACTTCACCGAACTGCCATCCCGTCCACCTGGGGCATTCTTGAATGCCATGCTCACAAAGAAGGTTACTGCACCGTTAAGGCTATCTTCTGAGGAATCAATCGGGATGGTTTCAAAGCACCTAGTGATATCACCAGAAAAAACCGAAAACACACTATCAGGCAGGTTATAGCAGTAGTCTTGGATGGACTCAATAGCCCACCAGATGGTCGTGTCCACGCCATGGAACCTCAACAGTCCATCAGTGATGACTTTGCATTGGGCCATGACTACGGGGGTCAAACACTTGAGGACTGCGTCACACAGGGAAGCCACCGGGGTTAGGAATGTTGAGGCGGCATTGGTGAGCCACCTAAATGCGAGTTTGTGGTGTTTGTATAAAGCCACGAGGTAGGGCAGTTTCCTTGGGCCAAGGGTGCAGCCAGGTGGCACACACACCATTCATGAGGGCACACACTCTACAAGCCCGGGATTGTCGTGCAATCCTGGGACCGCTGGGCAAGGAGCAGGGGCCAAACCCCCAAAACAGCAGGAGTCGGGCACCTGAGTGCCCAATGTGTCATCTTCGAAGGCTTCAGAACCGGTCCCGCAGATCTCCTCATCCAACCCTCCGGATTGAGCATGTTGGCGAAAGGAGGCACTTCCCGGCCCACAGCCGGTCACTTGCGAATGCTCTTCCTAAGCAGTTCCATATTGGGACTCTGAATAGCTCCAGTCTTGGATACAGGACAGTCCCGGTGGTCCGCCTACTGTTTTGGACTGAAAGAACAGAAGATAGCAAACATTATGGGAACGATTTATCTCATTAATACAAACATGAACTGTGATGCCTTGCGACCCCTAACCCTCGTGACTTTCCACAGGGAACTAAAAGGTGCTGGGTTCACAAGCAAATTTTTTCTCTCCGCTTTGAGCAAGGTCTCATCTAGACTAAGTAGCACTTGCACAAATATAAATCTGAGACTACCATAGCAGCATATTACAACTAGTGGTGTTAGCACCTCACCATGAGTCTTCCACATACCACCTAGTTTTTCTCAAGTTTTGTACTTCTTGGGCGTGGACACTCGGCATCTAGGCCTTGCTCTCCGCTGAGATCCATCCCCACCTACAAGGTTGATTATGGAAATATCGAAGGTACTCGAGCGTCCGATATGGTCGATACGCGGTGACTGAGTTCTCAACGAGGACAAAAACTCTCCATCTGAGCAGACATCGAGCTAATGGCGGGAAGCATTTCTCAGCCGTAACACGGCGCGAACTCATTCCTTTGAACACAGGTTCTGAGGACTACTAGCTTCTAAGGGCATACTCACACTTGGGCTTTTTTACTTATTTATGGGCGGAATTGCGGCCAGGTGCATACAGGTGTGGCCGAAATTGCGGTCTGATACAATTTGGAAAGTGCTAGTGTAAGTATGCCCTAAGTGACTGAAAATCAGAGGCTTTGATTCCATCATGGGTTCTGAGGAACTGGAGTGGAGCGACTGCGTGCGAACTTAGGCGACGTCATCCTTTGAACTCGTACCAGATATGTGCTCGAACTGTGGACAGCCCCAACTGTGTTACAGTCGTCGCCCTTTACCCAGCAGACAAACAGTTGCTCCTGAAGAACAACCGACTGCAGTTTAGAGGCAACCATGTGCAACTCTCAGCGTGGTCCCCGTTGACCCGCAATCCACTGACGAAAAAATAGAGTACCTCATGAAATCGAACTTTTGGGTGGAATTCCGGTTCACACCCTTGTGTGTACAAGGGGCGATTCTAGCTGATTTGGAAGATATAGCGCGTGTCAAAGGATATATCACCGACTTACCCCAGTTTCTTGGGAAAAGAGATGATTCGTTGTTGGTTGCGGTGGAATGGGACCCATAATATCCCTTCCCCCTTAATGAGGAATGGAACTCCCTTGGGGGTAAGGAATTCTCAGTCTCGATCAGCCACTCGCAAGCTTCCCCCCAGCCGATCTACAAACCTAAACTAACGAAGAAGTCGGTCGGGGAGTCACAATGCAAACAACAGACAGACGCTCCGGAACTCAACAATCAGCGGACGCAGGAAGACGGATTGCATGGACCGACGACAATGGAACAACTGTCCCGGGCCCTCGATCCCGACCACCCGCTCCGGATCTCGCATGACCACAGCCCCGAACAGCCTGAGACTCATGACAAAATGGGACGAGGGCGGGCAGGAAAGCACATCGAAACGCCTAAACAACAACAGTCGGAAAATACTGGTATTGAAGAAGAGCCACATCAAGGTGGAAAGTGCCTGCTTGCTGGAGAACGACAGCAAGGGAAGAATGTCAACCCTCAACAGTCGGTCCAGCTGGCGACAACAAGAAACGCACAAATGTCAGGTGCCCTGGCCTCGACTTCCCTGCCCACACGACGGGAACATGACACCACACTGCCAAATGTTGATGGGGTTGTTGAGCGAGCCCCTCCTCCGCGTGTGGAGGGGCTGGGTGAGGTAGAACAAAAACAACACGTTGGGCACAAGACCTCCGCCCCAGAGAAGGCAATGGTGCCTGGCCACAACCAGCCCCGAACTGGGCTGCATTACCAGACCGGGGGCAATGTAAACGAGACTAAAGCTGGGGAGAAGACCCTGATGAAGCAATCACCCCCCCCTCAGCCTGCTCATCAACAAGCACAGAAAACCATGTCTCCTGGACGAGGAGTGGACAATGAACACCCCACACTGGGAGACTGACCAGCCTGCACATCAACAACCACGGAAAACCATGTCTCCTGGACGAGGAGTGGACAATGAACACCCCACACTCACTCAGGACCAGGAGACTGACCAGCCCGCACAAGCGATTAAGAACGAGCCCCACACGGTAGCAGCATCTAAAGAAGAAGTCGTTAAAGGATTTAAACCCAGGGAGGTGTGGCTCAAAGCCAACTCCCTGCTAAACAAACTCAAGGATGCTGCTTTCCCCCAACACTTGGAACCGTCGCTGCCCAACCGCCGACAGCATGAATTGAACAACGACCCCCAAGGAGGGACGGGAGGAGTACATCTAACCCGGTTGTCGATTGAGCAGCAAGAGAAAAGCAATGTCCACCCCCGGAACTGAGACAGCCTTGTACGACAATGGTGATCTCTCAGGTAACGGGAGAGGTCAAATTCTTGCCCCTTGAGCCGCCCGGAAGACCACACCACGATCTGCCGCGGACTCGGAAGCTGGAGCTCGAACATAACGACGTAACTGGAGCTTCCCAGCAGCAGCCTTTGCAACAGCCGGCGTTGCAATAGCAACAACACCACTCGCAAGCCCAAGTCGGGCAAAGCCAGGAGGAACACCAGCCAACCCGATTGTCGATTGAGCAGCAAGGGCCCCCAGACCCGAGCCAACCTTGTATGACAATGGTGATTTCTCAAGTGACGGGAGAAGTCAAATTCTTGTCCCCCAGCCGCCCAGAAGACCACTACACAATAAGCCGCGGACTAGGAAGTTGGAGCTCGAACATGACGACGTAACTACAGCTGCCCAGCAGCAGCCGTTGCAACAGCTGGCGTTGCAACAGCAACAGCACCACTCGCAAGCCCTAGTTGTGCATAGCCTGCTGGAACAGCAGCCGGAGCCTCTCCATTTTAAACAGGAGGACCGACTGCTCGAACATGACGACGAAACTAGAGCTGCCCAGCAGCAGCCTTTACAACAGCCGGCGTTGCAACAACATCAGCACCACCCGCAAGCCCTAGTCGTGCATAGCCTGCTGGAAAGCAGTCGCAGCCTCTCCATCATAAAGAGGAGGAGCAGCCGTTGTAACAACAGCTGTTACAACAACACCTGACACATGGAGTGCAGGGCCTGCTCGAGCACCAACCAATGCAGCAACAGCCCCAACAATTGCAAGACCTGGGACAGATGGACCGACTCTCAGAGCAGCAACTGGTGGCACAGCAATCACCGGGGCACCAACAGCCGCTGCAGCAACCCCAACAACAACAAGAGCAGCAGATGATATCTCATCTGCAACACCAACTCATACTGCAGCAGCATCTCCAATCTCAGGCAGCGCAACACCAGCAAGACCAGCAGCTGATGCTACAACAGCACCAGCACAAGGCACAGCAGGAGCAAATCTCGTCGCAGCAACCCGAACAACAACTGGAGCAGATGCAGATGTCACAACAACTGCAGCAACCTCCACAGCTACAGCACCAGGAAACTCGGAGATTGCCACAGCAGCAAGAGCAGCAGTTGACGTTACAACAACTCCAGCAGACGGCACAACTAGATCAAAGGCTGTTGCAACAACAACAGCAACAACAGCCACAACAACAACAGCATCAACACCAGCTGCAAGAGCAGCTGCTGACGATGCATCAACACCAGCAGATGGCACAGCAGGAGCAAACGGCGATAGCTCAACAACTGCAACAGTTGCCACAACAACCGCATTTTCAGCACCTTGCGCCACAGCTGCAAATACAGCAACAACAACAACATGTATCGCCACAACAATACCAGGGTCCAGCCCAAGAGGCGCAACAGCAACAGCAACTCCAACAGATGCAGCAGCAGGTATGGCACCAACACCAACAACAGCAACAGCAAGCTGCAGCAATACAGCAGCAACAACACCAGCTGTTGCCACGTCATCAAAGTATGCACAGTGAGGCGCAGGAACTAGTACAGCTACGTAGAGAATGCGACGACCAACTCCATTTTCTCTTGCAAGCGCAGCTGGCGCAGTACCACCACCAACAACATCAACAAAGGGTGCTGCACCAACAACAAATTTTACAGCACCTGCATCTGCAATGGCAACAACAACTCTGCTGCCAACAGGAACTCATCTTGCAACAACAGCAGCAACAGCTGCAGCTGTTCTGGCATCAGGAGATGGAAATGCAAAAACAACAACAGCGCCATACACTGAATTGCCCCCAGTTAGCCGTGGCTGACCCTTCGTTTCACAAGGCGGAGTCACAGACGGTACAGGACATGGACACCTCAGCCCCGAACGAGCCACTACAGACAATGCAGCACCACAGTTGGGTTCCGGGCCCGGGGGAGAGGATATCGAAATGACCCAAGATGCGGCTCCATTACCCCAAGATAGCCCGCCCCCCCTCCCCCTCCACTGGCGGACAATGAAGAAGTCAAACAGAAATTGGCATGTCTTATCGAATGGACTCTGACTAAGATATTTTCTATGGCTGAGGAGGGGTCACAGAACAAAATCTCCACCAAGTACTGGGCCCAGGCCAAAGAAGTTCTAATGTTTACCCCGCGGGTTCTGGCCACTGTCGAAAAGTACAGCAATGTGCAGTCTATTGACTGGATGGACGTCGGTGCAGCGATTGTCTTGGTGGTCAATGAATTCCTGGACAAGATAGAACAGTATGCAAAATATAGATTCGTCCACAATGGGGATATGCAATGTTCTGACAGTATTCACACCGAAGATGAGGCATTCCACCACGAAGGGCTGGCATGGCCTAAACTGCTGGTCCAGGAACTCGGTGCTACCCTTCACGGCCCCGCGGCCGCCGCCCCCACCCAGCTGGAAGAAAAACAAAGCCAGCTGCTCACATGGGAAGTAGTACCGCAACAACCTGAACCGCAGCGAACACCGCCTCGTCGCCCCCGCAGAATTGAAATTCTGCATGATGATGAGGATGACTTCCCATCCGGTTCAGAAGACGAAGCACTCGATGAACCCCCCCGGGGGTTCCTGCGGGATCGGGTGAGATTGCTGACTGATGGAACCACCCCGATGCAAACACCACCCGGTGTGATTATATTCCCAATAACCCGACAGAAGAAAGGAGGCCAATGGCTGCTAGGGCTCAGAACCCCCCCCGATCGGCCCCCGCATCAACCCCCGGACCCCGACGGCCTCACTGTAAAGGGATGGAGAGGCAGTCCCTCTACAATAGTCATCTTAAAGCGCCTCAAGTATTGGCGCCGGGGAATACAATTGGAAGGAGTCCAAGGAGCAGTGCTGCCACGTTCACTGTCATTTCCGGAAGGGCTCATCTCGGTCATTGTACTCATGAGCTCAAAAGCCACGACCCGAAAATCAGCGTCAACACACACATGGTTTACCCATCAATAGTTAATGAACTTGCCCGATGACCGGTTCATAACCAATTTTGCTTGGACTCGGACCAGGGTGCTATGGTTCATGCAGATCTTAATCGAAGACAGCGTGCTGGAAGAACACAATCAGTGAGATGGCCCGCCGCTTGTCCTTCCGATGAAGGTTACAGACTGAAACGACTGAGGTACACCTATGGCTGATACATGCAAAACATTGTGGACTATGGACCCGAGCAGACAATCACCGGACCTTGGCACCACCACGGCTCCCGCTGACAATCMCCCGCCACGCCCGACGACCCCCCCCCACCCACCCACCCACCGCCCSCTYTGCACWGCCCCAASRWCCSTATMGCSAWGGKGGACTTTTGGCKMAYCCTCCACGAACTCCTGCCGKAAGACSCYCCYGWTATRCTCKYKGGAGATWWCAATRCCAYGYTKGACCCKKTSMTKSACCGTAGATCTACGATTAGACACCAGGACCTGGATTCCTCGTCGATGTCTGCCACTGCCCCGGATATTTGCATGCTCAAACAACTTATGACTGACAGACAACTTGAAGACGCATATAGACTGCTGCACCCCGCCGAGAGAGCTTATACCTGCCTGTAGTCAAGAGGCGAGCACAGCTTGGCCAACTCACGAATAAACCTTACGCTAGTATCAAAAGACATGATGGGCCTCGTTACAACGGCGGAAATAACAACAATCAGCCCATGTAGGTCCTTTGATCATAGGATGATTACACTGGGACTGACATTCCACAACCACATCCAGCAAGGGTCAGGGTTTTACAAATTTAATGCTTCTTTGCTCCCCTTGCCCATGTTTAAAAAACTGGTTAATGACTATTGGAAATATTGGCAGTCCCAGAAACCTGTCTTTGGGGAAAGGGTGAAATGGCTCAATGAGGGAGTGGCACAACTAAGGGAAAGAGCGAAAAAATTCTCCATCCAACATGCGAGAGACCGCAAGGCGTGCCTAGAAAGCCTCGTGAGAGAATTAGATGAAGGGATTAGGAACTTATGAAGGACCCGTTGCGCCGCCCCTCGTATGACAAACTGCAAGCGGCCCGCGACCACCTCCAGTCATATACTGAACAGCACGCGCAGGCATGGAGAGTGCAGGCTAAAATTAAAAAACAACACACAAATGGGACGATGGCAAAGACCTTCTTTACAAAAACCAGAGCGAGATCTAGAGCAGCCACGGTTCCCAAACTAAACCACCCACTGGACAATAACGCCTTGCCAACAACCAATGCATACGCAATTACGGACTATGCGGCTAAATATTACAGCAACTTATTTACATCCGAAACGCCCACCAAGCACCCAGACCAAGTCCATCAAGCGAGGCAATCGCTTCTTCAGGTTGTCCACTTGTCCTTAACACAGCAACAAAAAGTCACCTTGGACAAGCCCATAACCCCACAGGAGGTCTAGGACGCCTTACAAGACATGGACGACGAGAAGACACCTGGGATCGACTCCTTCCGGAAAGAGTTCTAGGTACGCTTCCGGGACCTACTCAAGGATGATCTCATGGAATACATAGATGCGGTGCAAAAAGAAGGTTCCTTCAGGGGGATTATTAGCCAGGGGGTAACTACCCTTCTATATAAGAAAGGGGATAAAGAAAACATAAGAAACTATAGACCCATCACTCTGCTTCCGGTCCCCTACAAGATGGTGGCTAAGGTCCTTACTAACAGATTGTTGCCCTTCATGAATATGCTGATTCACCCGGACCAAACAGGGTTCATGCCCAATCGGAACATTCAGGATAATATCCTGTTGGTCAAAAAGACCATCAAATATGCCCGCCAACGAAGGGTCCAAGCAGCGATCCTTTTTATAGACTTCGAAAAGGCATATGACCACGTGGATTGGGACTTCCTTGATATGTGCCTCCTTAAAATGAACTTCGGTCCGGGCTTCTGCCAATGGTTACAACTCCTGCACAGATCGGCCACAACCAACATAATGTTAAATGACCACCTCTCACCACCGTTTCGCCTCCAAAGATCGGTGTGCCAAGGAGACCCCATTGCGCCGCTGCTGTTTGTTATTGTTATGGAGGCCCTTGCATCGATGATCGGAGCACACCCCGGTATCAGTAAAGTGCCTATCCCAGACCTACCACACCATCTCATACCAGTGACATCACTCTTTGCGGATGATCTCACCGTACTAATACGGGCCGACTCGGACAGCGTCCAAGCCCTCACCCGAGTTATCCATCTCTTCTCGCTTGCGGCAGATATGAAGGTTAACTGGGGCTCCAAGACTGAGGGCTGGTGGCTCCACCCTCAAGGACAACCACCTCCACCCCAGCCGAGTGTAGCTTGGGCCCGCAAAGAAGATGCCATTAGGATACTGGGGGTGCGACTGACTGCGGTGGGCCCCCCGCCAGACCATGGGGACATGTTGGTCAACGTGGCCATGGATCGTCGGGCCAACTGGGAGGGTCTGCACACATCGCTGGTGGGACGGGCCTTAGCAATTAATAGTGCCATCCTGGCGGCCATCTGGTATAAATTGGCAGTCTGGCCGTTGACTAAACAGCAGCACACCAGGCTGAAGAAAGCCCTAACGACGTACCTGTGGAAAAATAGTGCTAAAGCTCAGGGTTGCGTCAATAGGGTGAAGTGGGACATTCTTACACAACCTAGATCTAAAGGGGGATTGGGAATCCTGGATCCTGAAAGACAGGCCGAGGCACTCATCTTTAAAGTCCTCGTCCGACTACTCATAGGTAACGGCATCCCCTGGAAGCCGTTGGCCTGCCTATAATTAGCCAACCTTGCTCCACAAAACGATGCACCGGGAAAGGTCCACCCGTTTCAATGGCTGACAAACAACCACTGGTCCATCCCCTCGCCCCCAAAACAAACGCGTCCAACACACCTGGCTGACCCGACATACGCCACAAAGCAGGACATAACGGAAGATCCATTATGGCCCTATATGATTAAACTCTGGAGACGGAGGGGTCCCCAACATAAACATCCCCCGAGGAGGTGGCATGACATATGGAGGCAATCCCTCTTTGGCAACCCACACATCCTAAGAATCAGGCCAGCCATTCGCTCTGACAACCAACTCCCCTTGGCTTACCTGGGCCAAGAAGGAGGTTTTGACGGTTGGAGACCTTTGGGACCCGGTGGGAGGGGAGTGGGCTACCCCTAGCCAGCTGCAGTGCAAGCGTAAACATGTTAAAAACGTGGAAGAAAAGGCTTGCCTGCTAAAAGAGGCTCTCCCCATTGCCTGGCACCTCACCTTGAGGGAGGGACCGATAGTCCGGAGGGATGACTGGGTCGTCAGATATTCAGACTCCTTGACCCACCTAGTCGTATTTAAGGTCAAGGACAACAACCACGGGACCTGTGAACTGGAAGCTTATGAACCCCTGCTGCCCCGGGCCAGATTTACAAAAGTGGTGAGAAACAACAGTCTAGACACCACAGGTGCATGGGGGGCACTGATACAGGTGAGGGTGGTGGGGGACCAGGAGAATGGCTACAATGCATATGAGACCACCATCCCTGTGGCCAACCTTCCCTTTGACTTGGTAGAATGGGAGTGGCCAGGCCCCAAAACAATGTACATATGGAATTACACAGTAAAAGGAGGATACCGAGCATCACGACAATCCCAACCGATCAGCCAAACCATAGCGAACAGATGGGCTCGTGACTTGCCGCTATACCACAAACTGTCACAGTCTTTCGACTGGTCCAGATATGCAGGGATCATGCCCACAAACCATAGATCTTTGCAGTGGCAGATCCTGCACCGCTGCCTCCCCACCCCAGACTGGATAGTGTCTAGGACTAACCTGGAACAGCAAGGAAAGTTGTCCCCCATCTGCGCATATTGCGCTCATACACCGGCCAGGGCAACCCTCGAACACTGTCTTCTGGTGTGCCCGATGGTAACTCAACTATGGCAATGGTGGGATGCGGCCTTTCACTCCCTCCCTGGATATCACATACCCTGGGATATCGGCCTCCTGCTGCTAGGGAAGAACCGCCACCTGCTGGCTCACTGGTCACCATTTGCGACCAACCTCTTTTCATACACGAGGCTGCATCTTCTGATGCTGGCTTGGAGAGCCAGATACTCATTTGAAAGAAAGGATCATCAATTTGGTCTGATGCAGGCGCAACAAGCAGTGGAAGAGCAGATCAGAGCCAAAACCCAGGAAGCAAGGAAGACTGTGAAGCGTGATCTTTCAGAGGAGAAAGACCTTCCTACCAGGGACGTCATCCGAGACTCCTACATCCTGACTTGGCAAGACCCTGGCAAACTGTTCTCGGAACTTGACACCGCCCTTGATATTACGTGGAAACCTTGGAGGAAAATGGAACCTGGTTGGCAGAGGAAACCCTTTACCGACTTTCAGGTCCCGTACCTCCAACCCAACTTTGTGCTGHTGCCTCCCCCTSTGCCACCTGCCCAGTCGCCCCCCCTCCCCCCGTCTACTCTGCCATGCCCGCTGCACCCACCCCACTCATCGTCTCCAATCCCAGCACTCGCCCCGCTGCCTGCACCTGCCCTCCAGATCACTTGATTGGGAGCTGTGTGGTTCCTGATGGCTTGGGTTGACACGACGATTCAAATGTGACTGGCGGATCGACTGGCAACGGGAGGCGAGAATAACAGGAAAGACATCAGTATTGGAATGACAACTCATGCTTTGCTGCAACAGGCCAGGGGGAACCCTGCCGCCTGCACCTACCCTCCAGATCACTTGATTGGAAGATGTGTGGTTTCTAATGGCTTGGGTTGACACGACGGTTCAAATGTGACTGGCGGGTCGA